GATCTATGGACCATATAATTAAAAATGAATGCTATGTTTAGATGCCATCTTTGCTACTATGTTCCAGTATTTCGGTGTTGCTAATTAGAACCTCATTTTTATCGCCCTGAAGCTTATTTACATTTAAGGTAGGCATAATTTGGCTATATGCATTCTGCCAGGCATTCAGTCTTTTAGAAGGGGCAGATGTTTCACACACACACACACACACAGAGAGAGAGAGAGAGAGAGAGAGAGAGAGAGCGAGCTTTTTTAAAAAAATAAAAAACTCAACAGTGACCTCTCTGGCCACCAAAGGAAGAATACCCATAGATTTCAAGATGCAAATCACTAGAAATAAATGTCTTTAAGGTGGGAAGGAGGAGGCAAATTAAAACTGGAAAGATGGATTTTGGAGCGCTTGTACCATGCTGTTTGAGAGAATGACAGAGAAAAAACATAGTAAGCTGATCTATTTTATTGAGGTTGTAGGCAGGATATAAGCTTGAGATTTTAATTTTGGCTGCATGGCATTCATTATTATGCGATGGCGGCAATGCTAGCATAGAAGAAATCAACACAAAGGGAGGATGCTGACTTTAATTTAAAATAAAATCGGCTGTGTTTTGTTCCTTCCATATTCTGTTCTCTAGGCAACAACGGTCCCTTTGCTTCCCAAAGCAGAAATTAAAGATGCAGCCAAAGCAGCGGAGGAGGAGAAAATAATTTTGTGACAGGATGCTTGCAGCGAGTCTTGTTAGGCTAGGACTCGGGTTGTAAATAGAGAGGTTGCATGCCAGTTCCCTAGAGTTAAAAAGAGAGTCCAAAGGAAACGGTTTCCTCGGAGAACAAGTCAACCACTTTGGGTCGACTGGAAGCAAGCCACCAACACAGCTGCCTGGAGAGCCAGCCAATAGCTGGAATGGATGCTGCTGGAAGAATCTTGTATCTCCAATAGATTAGCTAGCATATGGGTCTTTTGATAACCAGCTCAAATAGCCGAGGAGGAAGAAAGCATCAGCGCTGTGCTTTTTAAATAGGCGAGGAGAAGCAAAGTCAGAAAGCATGGGAAATACTTTAAGTGCATGGAAAATAGGAATTAAATTAGCATTCCCCTCCCCATGGAACTCTAATAAAAAAAGGTAAAGGGACCCCTGACCATTAGGTCCAGTCGTGGCCGACTCTGGGGTTCCGGCGCTCATCTCGCTTTACTGGCCAAGGGAGCCAGCGTGCAGCTTCCGGGTCATGTGGCCAGCATGACTAAGCTGCTTCTGGCGAACCAGAGCAGCACAACAAAACGCTGTTTACCTTCCTGCCGGAGCGGTACCTATTTATCTACTTGCACTTTGATGTGCTTTCGAACTGCTAGGTTGGCAGGAGCTGGGACTGAGCAATGGGAGCTCACCCCATCGTGGGGATTCGAACCGCCAACCTTCTGTTTTTTTTTTTAAAGCAATTTATTGGGTTTTACAATAAAAATAAACATGATAAACAATATAACATTTGTCTTAACATAGTTTCACATTTTCTTTGGACTTCCTCACATCTCCCGCTCCCACTTTCATCGTTATAACATTTTATCAGCAATTTATCATCTTATTTAAATTCTTATATCCCTTCTATATTTCATAATCTTATAATTCTCGAAAGGAGTTAAGTTTTCACAATCTTACTTGTTTTCTTGAAAAAATTCTAAATTTAGTGGTGCTCAGTTGTTTTAGTCTAGCATCTTATTTAGCATTCACTCAAATTACAATGTTTTTGTAGATAATTCTTAAATTTCTTCCAATCCTCCTCTATCCTCTCTTCTCCCAGGTCACGAATTCTGCCGGTCATTTCAGCCAGTTCCATGTAGTCTATCAGTTGCATCTGCCATTCTTCCAGTGTGGGTAGATCTTGAGTTTTCCAGTATTTTGCAAGAAGTATCCTTGCTGCTGTTGTTGCATACATAAAAAATGTCTGGTCCCTCTTTGCCACCCCTTGGCCGACAATACCCAAAAGGAAAGCCTCTGGTTTCTTAGTGAAGGTATATTTAAATACCTTTTTCAATTCATTATAAATCATTTCCCAGAACGCCTTCACTTTAGGGCAAGTCCACCAGAGGTGGAAAAACGGTCCCTCACACTCTTTGCATTTCCAACACTTATTGTCAGACAGGTGGTAAATTTTTGCAAGTTTGACTGGGGTCATATACCATCTATAAATCATTTTCATTACATTCTCTTTCAAAGCGTTACATGCAGTAAATTTCAATCCATTACTCCACAACCTTTCCCAGTCCTCAAACATAATATTATACCCAATGTCCTGTGCCCACCTTATCATAGCCGATTTAACCGTTTCATCTTGTGTATTCCATTCTAACAGCAAGTTATACATCCTTGATAGTACCTTAATCTTAGGTTCTAACAATTCTGTTTCTAGTTTCGATTTCTCCACCTGGAACCCTAATTTCTTATCATTTTTAAAAACTTCTTTAATCTGAGCGTAATGTAACCAATCTCGCACTTTGTCTTTCATTTTCTCCAAACTCTGCAATTTCCAATTGTCTCCATCCTTTTCTAGTATTTCCCAGTATTTTGGCCATTTAGCCTCCATATTGGGTCTTTTTCGGGCCTTCGAACCGCCAACCTTCTGATCGGCAAGTCCTAGACTCTGTGGTTTAACCCACAACGCCCCCCCTGTCCCAGATGGAACTCTAATAGCTATGCATAATTGACACATTGATATCCCATTGCAGACTTTCACTAGTGGGGAGGGTGGGAAACTTTGGGGGTGGGGCCAAGGGTCCCATTATTGTGATGGAAAGTTGTCCAGGGCCACATTCCAGTAGCGGGCAGGAATGGGTGGTGCCAGACCTACACAGTGTCTCCCCCCCCCCCCCGCCCCAGCGGGGCGTATCATCAATGCTTAGTAACTTCACAAAAGTTTCACTTTCTGTTTTTTCCATACACTTCCTTACAAAAAACTTTAAATTTTAAGAAAGCTCTCCAACACTCTTTTCCTGCCCTGACTGTAGAAAAAGAACTCAGAAATCCTTCTCCCTCTTTTTCTTCCTAATGTAATGCTAATGTCTCAGCAAATGAAACTAACCTATGGTAAATGTAACTTGAAAAAGAGACATTGTGCATACCTTTGTAAACCATGAAAACTAATAAAATATTAAAAGGAAGAAAGAAAAAATCCCAGCCAAATTAACACCAATGCACACAGCTAAATGGCAAGCCCTGACTGACAGCTATTCAAAACCTCGTGTTTTAAAAGGCAACTTTCTCTGTCCTCTGGCTGTGTATCTCCAAAAAACTGTTTTGAGGGTTCCCTTGACCCCTTCCCAAGCAGACTGGGGGAAATGCAGGGAGAGGAGAAGGAGAGGAAGTCCTGTTGCCCAGGCAGAAGTCCTTTCAGGACAACTTCGTTGGACACAAGCCCAGGTGTACAGATGTGTTCTCGCACAGCACATAAACTATGGGGTTTGCTGCCGCGAGACGTGATAATTTGCACCAATTTAGTCATCTGTAAAAGAAAAGCGGGGTAGACGAATCCATGATGACTATATGCTATCTTCAGAATCAGAGGCTTGGGGAAAATCACAGTGGGAGAGGGCCAATGTCCTTGTGTGCTGCTTGTGGGTCTCCCACTTTGGGATAGGGTTTTGGTTTGATCCAGCTGACCTTTGGCCCTGAAAACATGTTGCAAAAGAAGGATGGTGTGATGTCACAGAATCATAGAATTGTAGAGTTGGACGGGACCTCAAGGGTCATCTAGTCCCACAACTTGCAACACAGGAATCTCAACTAAAGCAACCGTTTCAGGTGGCCATCCAAGCTCTGTTTAAAAACCTCCAGTGAAGGAGAGTCCACAACCTCCCAAGGAAGGCCATTCCACTGTCAAACAGTTCTTCCTGATGTTTAGTTGGAATCGCCTTTCTTGTAACTTGAATCCATTGGTTCGAGTCCTACTATCCGGAGCTGGAGAAAACAAGCTTGCTCCATCTTCCATGTGACAGCCCTTGAGATATCACTGAGGTCCAGTGCCGAGGGCCTTCTGGCAGTTCCCTCGCTACGAGAAGCCAAGTTACAGGGAACCAGGCAGAGGGCCTTCTCAGTAGTGGCACCCGCCTTGTGGAATGCTCTCCCACCAGATGTCAAGGAGAAAAATAACTACCAAACTTTTAGAAGACATCTGAAGGCAGCCCTGTTTAGGAAAGTTTTTAATGTTTAATAGGTTATTGTATTTTAGTGTTCTGTTGGAAGCCGCCCAGAGTGGCTGGGGGGGCCCAGCCAGGTGGGCAGGGTATAAATTAGTATTATTATTATTATTATTATTATTAGTATTATTATTATTAGATGGCTATCATATCTCCCCTCATGTCACAGTGTGAGAGTTTATTTTCTCTGTTTCTTTGGCCGCTGGTTTCTATGAAATGGACAAATGCATTGAATGTCACAATACTGCATAGGTTTCCCCCCAACCCCACCTGAGAAGATGTGGGTTAGCATCACCACTGTGTCTTCTGAATTCTCTATTTCCATAAGGTTTGGGCTCAACTAATAAGCACAGTGGCACCTTGGTTCTCAAATTTAATCCATTCTGGGAGTCCATTTGACTCCCAAAACTGTTCGAAAACCAAGGTGCAGCTTCCAATAGGCTGCAGGAGCATCCTGCACTCAAGCGGAAGCCATGGAAGCCGCATCGGATGTTCGGCTTCTGAAAAACATTTGCAAACTGGAACACTCACTTCCGGGTTTGCGGCGTTTGGGAGCCAATTTGCTTGGGAGCCAAGCCGCTTGAGTACCAAGGTACCACTGTATTTCCAATAGTTTAGCACAGGCTTCCTCAACCTCGGCCCTCCAGATGTTTTTGGCCTACAACTCCTATGATCCCTAGCTAGCAGGACCAGTGGTCAGGGATGATGGGAATTGTAGCCTCAAAACATCTGGAGGGCTGAGGTTGAGGAAGCCTGGTTTAGCATGTTCTTCTTCCATTCTATTCTAAGGCATGATGCCCTCCATTAGTTAGCAGCCTGGATAGCTCAGTTTGTTAGACCATGGTGCTGCTACTGCCTAGGTTACAGGTTCAATCCCTGTATGGGACAGCTGCATATTCCTGCAATGCAGGGGTTGAACTAAGATAGTCCTCAGGGTCCCTTCCAACTCTACAAGTCTTTGTTTCTGTGGTTCTATGAATTCCCATCACCCCAGCCAGTGTGGTCAATGATCAAGGATGATGGGCATTGTAGCCCAGCAATTCCTGGAGGACACCATATTGGTCACCCCCTACTCCAAAATAAAGTAAAATAAAATAAGCTGAAGTAAGGTTTGGTGTAGCACTGCCTTGAACATTTAGCATGTCCTGCTCTCACCTCCACTATTTATCACCACTGTACAAGATAATATTACGTTACTCCCTTCTCAGCAATAGTTGCTCTCCAAGGACAAGCAGCTGAATAGCATCTTGATAAGACAGAGCAGTAATTAAACTGGATAATTATTACCAGCTCCTTAGAACAAGAGGCTGCTACCAGCTGGTATTAATGTCCATGATATTTTGCCATGAGACTTAAGATATGGGTGCCCAGATGCATGGTCTTTTTTTATGCAGAAACCTTATTTATGATTTATTTCCTAAGGACTGCGGGATCTAAACAATATGCATGTATGTGAGTCACATACACACAAACTCATTGTTGCCACACTGACAGATAGCTCTAGTAGTTATAAGATCTCTGATTGTCCCTTTATCTAAACAAAGACATCCATTAATGTGCTTGGCTAGAAATCTGTGGAAAAAATATAATACAACTAGAAGAAGCACTTAGATCCTATATTTAAATGCTGCTTGTGAAATATGTACAGGACAAAGGAAACTAATTTCCATAAAGTAATTTGACTTCAGCATTTGTTTGGATGATTCATTTGTGTATGTTTGTCTTAATGCTGTCATTTGTTTTCATCTGTTTATTAATTCCTGGTTATTATGAATGCGTTGCCAGCCCTCTAATACTTTTCATGCCAACATATCCCACAACAATCAAGGTTTTCTAAATGTTCTGCATGAAACAGGCTACCTCTTGAGGACTGGGTGCTAGTTGTTCTTGGTTTTATACACACAGACACACACACACATATATATATATATACATATACACACACACATATATACATACACAAATACACACGAAAGAATATGAGAATATATATGTGTGTGTGAGAGAGAGATTGATTAAAATTTGTACACTACTTTCTTCTTCTTCTTCGTCGTCGTCTTCTACTTCTTCTTCTTCTTCTTCTTCTTCTAAAAAAACACCCTCAAAATGGTTTACTGTTTTGTAATTTATTCAAACTTCTGGTCACTGAGGCACACTTATTTCTGAATTAAGATTGCAGGCAAACTTGGTGTCAGGGACCGTGCTGAGGAGGGCTACAATAGTGGGAGCCTCCTCCTCCTCCTCCTCCTCCTCCTCCTCCTGACCCTGAATCTCCCCAAGAGCAGGACAGTATAGATTTAGAACAGTGGTTTGCAGAGAGGCACAGTTCAGAAGGGAAAAGCTGGGAAATACTGGATGAAGAGCAGCTAGGAAGAGAGAGGGTTAACAGATTCACAGTCATTGGATAGCATCCCTCTTCCCCCTTCCCCACGTTCTAGGAGAGCTGAGAAAGTTGCTGAACAGAAAGCACAGCGACTACAAGCTCAGGTTACCAGACATAGGGTTGACGTGGATTGAGAGGGACGTGGGGTGGTGGTGTAGCCTTAATTGGAAGCACCGCCATTCTTCGAGAGAGAGGTTTGTTATCCCTCACTGCAATTATTAAATAATTCTAACTGGTAAGAAGACTCCATTCACTTTGTTCTGCTTATCTACTGCCAAGGGGGAGGGGAAGGATGCCGATTCCTTGAAGCCTGACACTTGGACCCTATTCAGGTGTTCTCTAGATGCACATGTAGGAAGGCACCATTTTCCATTCTGCTCTGTATTTGCCACATGTATTCCATTATGCTGCATTGTCAAAAGTGACATTACCTGTCTCATTGTCCACTAATGCTAAAATTACCTACATTATTGAGCCCCATTCATTTCTATTCTACTTGTGGATGGTGTGCACACAAAACGCACGGCCCAAATTCTAAATCGTATGGGGAGCTTCCATGAGTAGAGAAGGTCCCCCACTCCTCAGACCTTTACACACATGAAGGATTCTAAAAGTGATAATTGGTAATGTGCTGGAAAAAGAGGGTCTTACTAGTGCGCGCACACACACACGGCTTCCCTTTGCATGTTTCCTTAAATATGGGTAAAAAGAACTCCCAAACAGGGATTAGGTCCTATATGAGCAAAGCGTAACATACAAGTGTGGCCTTACCCTACTCTAGCCCGAACTTTAAAAGCGCAATGCTGGTGGTCAACAAAAGAGGTTCAAATACTCTCTCGGGGCAAATCTAAAAAAATGTAGTATAAACACTGACAACTGGGAAACACTGGCCTGTGAGTGCTCCAATTGGAGAAAAGCCTTTACTAAAGGTGTTATGGGTTTTGAAGACTCTCGAACTCTGGATGAAAGGGAGAAATGCGCTAAGAGGAGGGCATGCTTGGCAAACCCTCACCGTGATCAACTCCCACCCGGAAACCTATGCCCCCACTGTGGAAGGACATGTGGATCCAGAATTGGCCTCCACAGTCACTTATGGACTCACTTTTAAAACCATGTTTATGGAAGACAATCTTACTTGGCTACAAGTGATCACCAATGAAGAAGAAGAAGACCCAGCTTCCGATGAACCTATACTTTTGAGTTTCTCCACAAGTAACTGTTGTGGTTTTTAGGGTAGCCATGGGTCTTACTTTACAGCTCTCTATTTGACGGTCTCCTCTCTGTGAAGGGGTGTCTGGTCCATGTCCAAATTAAAGATTGGGGACCACAAGAAGGGAGAAGTGAAAGGGACTTGAAGTTGCCCATCAACACAGCAGCTGGACCTGAGCAGACACACAGGTCCCTTGCTCACAGTAGTCCCCCAATGCAGTGGGATGCATTTAAATTCCAGCAGGTATTTTTATATTTATATCTAGACGTATATATTAACATTATAAACCTCTTCGACCTTTCCTAGCAGGGAAGAGAAGGGTGAGAGGCATTTCTTAGCTGGCTTCCCAATGTGGAGAGGAAGTTGATAGACCAGTGTCTTGCAGGCATGGCGGTGGACCCAAACCAACCCTCCAGATGTTGCACATCAGCTGCCCTGTTGCTTTCCCCCCTCCCTATTGGAGACTGGCAATAACCTCTGGTTTGGGAAGCCAGGTAAGGAACACTGGCTCATGCCACTCCACCCCATCAGACCCTACTGGCCTTTCCTCATCCATTATTTTTTTTTTTACCAAGCTATTCTTATTTCCCTGTCTACAGAAGCTTGGGAAATGGTTGTACAGTCCTTCCTCACAGCTGTATTTCTATAACATGTCAGGAGATCCCATCATATATATTCTGTGTCATATGTAGCTTGGCCCATAGATAGCAGTAGAGGAGTATCCTTCATCAGAAATCCACTGCAAATTTTATTTGCTGGGAGGGAACGAAGGAGTATGGGTGTTAAGAAGTGCATTGCCTTCTTCCATCTCTCCGCACACACATACTCATGCCAGAATATTGCATCTCATTTATAAGGTTTGTTTTTCAAACAGGGTTCTATTTAAAATTGAAATGCAGATGCAGATAATGCTTTTGCTGTTTGCTGTTCCCAAGAGGCATTTTCTAAGGCTGTTTTAAAGTAGGAAACCTGTAGGAGATGTTCCCAGTTGCTTCTTCTGAAGAGCTGGAGAGGAGATCATGCAAATCAACAACAAACCAGCTGAAACTAGATGTCAGAACTAGAATGAGATCACAACCCCGTGATCTTCTTCATAATGCATGTTGATTCACATGGACAGGCCGGGCCCAAAGGCTGTATCACTTTTAAAAAAACAAAACAAAACAGGGACAAAGTCAGAATCAATGCCATCTTTTAAAACTAAGAGTCTTTCTCCCCCCAGATCATATAAAGTGGGGATGCCATCTGTAGGAAAGTATCTTAGTTCAGCTGTCTCCAACCTGTTGCCCTCCAGATGCTTTCAACTTGTGACCCTCCAAAAGTAGTTGGATACAAACTCTTGGCACTCTTCCCAGGTCACATAACCTCTCCCCAGGCCACAATGCCTCACTCACCCTGCTCTGGAACCTCCTTGAGTGTGCTTGCCTGCCTGGAATGTGTCCTTGAACACTGATCATCCTTTTTACGTGCATGGATGGGGGATAGAGCAGGGGGGATAGCTTGCAAACTGCTCTAAGTTCTTATGATGAAGGGTGGTTGTTGTTGTTGTTTAGTCGTTTAGTTGTGTCTGACTCTTTGTGATCCCATGGACCAGAGTACGCCAGGCACTCCTGTCTTCCACTGCCTCCCGCAGCTTGGTCAAACTCATGTTGCTAGCTTTGAGAACACTGTCTAACCATCTCGTCCTCTGTCATCCCCCTCCTTGTGCCCTCAATCTTTCCCAACATCAGGGTCTTTTCCAGGGAGTCTTCTCTTCTCATGAGGTGGCCAAAGTATTGGAGCCTCAGCTTCAGGATCTGTCCTTCCAAGTGATGAACGGTGGTATATAAGTAAAAAACAAACAAACAAAAAACAAGGCAGTTGAATCTAGGACTTTCTTTTCTCCCTTGACTTCAAATGATTTTCATTAGATTCTACAAGTGTAGAATTATAACAATACAAAATACCTATCCATTTTTAGAGATTTCTCTGAATCTCCAGACTTCCCACCATCCCCTCCAAGGGTCCTATTGTAAACCTTTCCAACTTCATATTATTTCATAGTCCATATTTTATATCTCTCCATATTGTCCATGATATTTGCTACATTACAAGTGTTATTAAAATCCCGCTAATGTCTTCATCTGCTTACAGTGGTCTCCTAAATAAATTATAATTATTTTCCCCATTCTGAACCCAGGACTTTCAAAGCAGGTGATCTACCACTGAGTTTCAGCCCTTCTCCAGTGCATTTTCTGGCAGTTTTGAGACTGTAATTACACTCTTGACATTCTTGTTGCCTTCATGGACTTGGTG